TCATGTACCTGATGACCTGCACACGACCTGACCTCGCATACCCTCTTAGCATTCTCGCACGCTTTGTTGCTCCTGGGAGACACCGACCAGAGCACATGGCTGCAGCGAAGAGGGTGTTGCGCTACTTGTGCAGTACGTCGGGCATGGGGCTAGTACTTGGAGGGCGCAGTCCAGTGGTCCTCACTGGGCACGCAGACGCTTCTTGGGCTGACGACCAGGCTACGCAGCGGTCGTCACAGGGTTACACCTTCAGCCTTGGTTCCGGCTCTGTCTCGTGGCGGGCTACCCGCTCGTCTTCTGTTCTCGGCTCCAGTTGTGAGGCTGAGATCTACGCTGGGGCTATGGCTGCACAGGAGTTACGCTGGCTCACCTACCTGCTGACCGACCTTGGAGAGCAGCCTCGTTCTCCTCCAGTCCTGTACGTAGACAACAAGGCCATGCTGGCCTTGTGTCGAGAGCAGCGACTGGAGCACAGAACGAAGCACATTGCTCTTCGCTGCTTTCTTGCTCGTGAGCTACAGCAGCGTGGACAGCTGCGACTTGCGTACGTGGCCTCTGAGGCCAACACTGCTGATGTCTTCACCAAGGCACTTGCGCCTTGTGATCATCAGCGTTGCTGCACGCAGTTGGGTCTTGTGCCTGTCTTGCCTCACTTGCTCTCCTCTTGACCTTGCTTGTACTTTCGCATATATATACTCTTGCTCTTGTATATCTCTATATATGATCTTGCATGTGAACTGGCCTTGTGGCCTTTGAACTTGTGCTCGGAATGCGTGGTGACTTTGTGATCCACCCTGAGCTTTGCTTTGCTTTGCTTGACTGGTCTTGTGACCCCTTGTTCTCCCCCACTTTGCCTATGGGGGTGTGTCAGAACTTATAGCTTACTTGTTTCTGTAGGCTATAGTGGGGTATCCCATAGGGGGTACAACCCAATTAGGGTTTCCTATTTGTACCCACTTCGTTCATAGTCATTCCATTCTCGTTCTTTGTTTTCACACCGCCCTCCTAAGGGACCGTGTTTCCGGTGTGGGAAGACGGGTCACTACATGAAAGATTGCCACGAGAAAACGCCACTGATGGGGAACGACAGGAAGGAGCAGGAAAATGGGAAGAGTCAGTAATTAGCGGGCCCTTTACTGACTGTGCTCCGTCGCCCGAACCCCACCATCCCCATCGAGTCGTGGTTCCGATTCATGCAATCGATCGCACTCGGCCGAATAACGGGGATAATCACGTGGATCACCCTGTGCTGGTCGCTGGTAAGGTGTTCAAAAATAACCCGAAAATGTTCGTCGATGGAGGGGCCAGTCATAGCCTCTTCAATTTGGCGAGCGCAAAAAAATGCAAGCTGCAACTTGACAGGTGTCTGCCCAAAGTCGACGCTCGCCTCGTGGACGGGACGCCTCTGGCGATAACGGAAGAAACGCGGACGGTCAGGATCGAATGTGGCGACGATTTCGGCTTCAGCATGAAGTTCCTCGCGACAACATTGGACGGCTGCGACGTACTGCTAGGACGCGATTGGCTGCGACGGCACAACCCCGTCATCGACTGGACAACGGGGACGTGCAGCATCAACAAGCACGAGGGGCTAATTTAGCTCCCTGCATGGACCCCTGACTACATCCAAGCCCCGTGCGTCAAAGCCATCACTATAGCTCGCCACTTCAACAGGGCGCGCAGCTGTTCGCCGTTTGTTTACGCGAGTTGGCAGTCGACACCGAAGGAAAAGACATCGAGAAGCTGTGTGCAGCTGTACCACCGGATTTAGCGGAGCTGATTCGGAGGTACCCGGAAATCTTCCCCGACGATCTGCCACCTGGACTGCCACCGGAGAGACCTGAGGACCACAAAATCCAGCTAGAACCTGGAGCGCAACCAACCGCTTGGACACAGTGGCGGTTGACCTAGCCGGAACTCGAGGAGCTGCGACGACAAATCGACGCACAGTTGGAAAAAGGGTTCATTCGGGCCAGCACATCTCCCTTCGCAGCACCGATTCTGTTCACTCCGAAGAAAGACGGCGGGCTTCGCATGTGTATCGACTATCGCGCGCTGAACAGGGTCACCATCAAGTCTCGCTACCCAATCCCACGCACCGACGACCTCCTCGACCAACTTCGTGGCGCTCGCTATTTCTCGAAAATTGACTTACGTGGCGGTTACCATCAAATTCGAGTCTTCGCCGACGATTGTCACAAGACTGCGTTCCGTACACGCTACGGGAGTTACGAATTCACAGTGATGCCTTTCGGCCTCACGAACGCGCCCTCAACTTTTCAGCTGACCATGAACAGGGTTTTTCGGGATCTTCTAGACCGGTGCGTTATCGTCTACTTAGACGATATCCTCATTTTTAGCAAGACAAAAGAGCAGCACCTCCGTGACCTGGACGCAGTGTTTAAGCGGCTGCAGGAGAACCGACTCATCACCAAGGGCTCTAAGTGCGAGTTTTTTAAGCAGGGGTTGGAGTTATTGGGGCACATCATCTCGCGCGACGGCATTAAAATCGACCCGGCGAAAATCAATACCATACAGGAGTGGAAGTCCCCGACGAACGTCACGGAGCTCCAGAGTTTCCTCGGATTCGTAAATTACGTCCGGAGGTTTATCCCGAATATGGCGGGGATAACCGGCCCGCTGACCGACCTGCTGCACAAGAACAAGAATTTTGTGTGGGGGGAGGAGGCAGAAGCGGCGTTCCAGGAACTCAAGAATTTTCTCGTTTCCCCTCCTGTGCTGCGCATCGCCGATCCATCGAAGCCGTTCGAAGTTGTAACCGACGCCTCAGATTTCGCCATCGGAGCTGTGCTCCTCCAAGATTTCAGGAACGGGTTGCAGCCGATAGCCTACGAATCACGCAAGCTGCAGGCAGCCGAACGCAACTACCCGATCCACGACAAGGAGATGCTCGCCATCATACACGCATTTAAACTATGGCGATGCTACCTGGTGGGCGCCGACGTCACTTTTCGCACGGACCACAAATCCCTACAGTACTTGCGAGCCCAACCCAACCTCAACCCACGACAGATTCGATGGCTCGACTACATGGAGAGCCATTTCACCTACCGCATCACGTACAAAAAAGGGGCTAATAACATCGCCGACGCCCTGACCCGACCGACAGTACAATCCGCTGCAGTACTCATCACCCACTCGAACCCGCTACTTACCGGACTATTCACCCACGGCTACACGACAGACCCCTTCTTCACAACGGGAAACCATCAGCAGGCTATGACGCAGAAAGGGGACTATTACCTAAAAGCCGGAACCGACCGGATTTGGGTTCCCGCTTACCGTCTGCTGCGTGAGGTTCTCATCTAGGAGATACACGATTCAAACCTCTCCGGACATTTCGGGGTCGATAAGACACAGAAACTACTGCACCGTCACTATTACTGGCATGATTCCTCTAACGACGTGCAGCGCTATGTGTCCTCATGCAGGGTGTGCCAAGCAATGAAGTCGACACGTCAGCGACCAGGTGGATTGCTGCAACCCCTCAAGCCACCCGAATGACCGTGGCAACAAGTGACGATGGATTTTGTCATGGGGATGCCAGCTGGGCCGACAGGCAACGACGCTGTTCTCGTCGTCGTCGACCGCTTCACGAAAATGGCGCACTTCGCACCATGCCGAACGACAATCACAGCCGAAGAAACTGCGCGACTTTTCATATCGATGGTCGTGCGACTGCACGGCATCCCTTCAGCGATCATCAGCGACCGCGACCCAAAATTCACATCCAAATTCTGGAAGGAGACATGGGCGCAATACGACACGAAGCTACAGATCTCATCAGCTTACCACCCGCAGACCGACGGTCAAACAGAGCGGACCAACCAGACCATGGAGCAGTTAATCAGGACAAACTGCCCGGATCCTGCCCGCTGGGAAGACTCACTCGCAATGCTGGAATTCGCTTTCAACAACGCACCATCCAGCACGACTAATCACTCCCCATTTTTCCTGAATTATGGGATGGACCCGGCGGTTCCGACGACAACTACACTCGCCAATCCAATCCCGCGTTCCCAGGCTTTCGTGACGGAACTCCAGGAAGTCCGCAAAAAAGCCGCCGACGCAATTCGCAAAGCGAATATTACTTCCCGCAAATACACCAACCTTCTTCGCTGGGAACTCGTCTTGACTACTGGGCAACTAGTCCTCCTCGACACGAAAAACCTTAACCTGCCCGGCCCTGCGAAACTTCGGCCACGATTTTGCGGACCGTTCAAAATTCTCAAGATGGTGACACCTGTCACCGCGAAGCTGTTGCTACTCGACGATTGGCATATACATGACGCGTTCCACATCAGCCTTCTTCGGAAGTTCGTGCCTACCACGACCGACATCGCACGTTAGCAAGCGGCCCCGACAGCTCGCCCTGTCCCGGAGCCAACCCTTGACCCTTCCAAGATTCTCGCTCATCGGGTCCGCCTTGACGCCGCTGGACGCCACGTGGATTTCTTAATTCGCTGGACCGACCGCAACAGTGAGGATGACACGTGGGTGCCATCCGCTTCACTAGACGCCTCGACGCTTGTTGGTGATTATCTGGCGCGACGGCGTGTTTCGGCTCTTGACTACCTTTCTTAAGGGGGGGGGTGGTGTAAGGAATTTTCCCGAATTCCTTATCGGGGTTGACTGCTTCGCGTACAACCCGATTTTCGGAGTTCGCACGTTCGGCCGATTTCAACGCTGCCGAGGCTCCTCACGTCGCCTTCGGCTTTCCCATCGCCAAACCTGCACCCAACCTCGCTCGTCCGAGGTTTCCTCCTAGCTAGAGTAGTCCTACATTAGTCTGTGCATTCATTGTATTCGCAGTTGATTCAGTCACAGCTTCGTTATTCGTTTACCTGCGCACTCTCTTTTACAACTCATAACAAGCCTGGACAAGCACCCAATTGCCTGGTTTGGCGACAGACAGGACAAGTCGTGCACAAAGCCAGTACAGGAATGCAACTCACTAAAAAAAGAGTGTACAAGTCTACTTAAAACGTACATGGAGCCTTCAGCATATAAGGAACCACTCTGTTACCACTAGCCTTAATTACTTTGGCTTTCCTTCTAGGCATCGATAGAAAGTGTGATCCCCCACCCCCCTGCAAAAGGCTTTCAAATGTAATGTCCAAACCACTCTCCTTCTCAATGCTATGCTCCATTTCCTTATGCCACACCCATGCAAACAACTCATCACACCCATCGTCCAGTAACCTCCCACCCTCAAATTCCCCCTCCACTTCCTCGCCCTCGTCCCCTTCCTTCCCTGCCCACTCATCCTCCTCAACCCAATCCCCATATAACAAATTCACACCATCTCTCTCCATCCTAACCCCACCACTCAACCCTCTCCCACCCTCCGCTCTCCCCCTCCCTCTGCCACCACCACCTCCCAAACCCGCCAAACCGCCTCCCATCCCATGCCTACCATCAGCAAAGGAGCCTCCCTGGCCAGGCATGGGCCCTCCTCTCCCCATCGCCCCACCCCCAGGACCAAACCCTATAGGAGGAGGCCGGAGAAAAGGCCCCGCTCCAACCCCACCCCCTCCCATCCCAGCAGCACCGGGAAAACCAGGCCCACCCGCAGGCCCACCGCCAGGCCCATACGGGAGGAAGTCAGGGGGGACATTTCCCCCAAGGCCTCCCCCCAGTGCGCCCATTGGCCCCCCCATGGTGCCCATGGGGGGCATGCCGGGCCCCATGCGGTGAAACTGGTCGGCATAGGGCGGCGGCAGCATGGATGGGTCGATGGGCCCTCCCCCATATCGCTGCAGCTCTGCTCATGGGGGGGAGGCGCAGGTTGGGGAGAGAGATGCAGACATAGGAGAGAGACAGGGACAAATATCTGAAACAGGTCCAAGTGAAGAGGTGGGAGGGAGAGTAGAATGGGGAAGTGGATGGTGGAGGGTGGGGGTTGGTGTAGCAAGAAGGGGTTTATGAATGACGTAAAGAGGACAGGGTAGGTCAACAAAGGACCTTAGTCAACACTGCAAAACATGGAACCAGGCACCACCCGTGCCACTGTACTCGTGACTCTTTTGGTATACTTGAGAAAGAAGCAGCAAGGCAGCAGCAGCAGCAGCAGCAGCAGCAGCACATACCGTGAACCCCGTGGGCGAAGTGGCACTTGTCACCAAAGGGGCAGTTGCCCGTCATCTCCCACCGGTGGCACATGCGCGTGCGCCAGTTGGGTGGCTTCCCCGTCACCCCCATGCCCACATTCCCTCCTCCCCCTCCCCCTCCCCCTCCCCCTCCCCCTCCCCCACCCGCTCCCCCTCCCCCACCAGCACTGTCAGCAGCAGCAGCTGATGCAGAAGGAGCGTCCGCCCCTGCAGGCCCGGTTCCTCCCCCTGCTCCTTCCCCAGGCACCCCTCCCTTGGCAGTGCCACCAACCCCACCGGCACCTTCGCCAGCAGCACCAGGCGTTGCCTTGCTGGCGGGCTCTTGTGCCTCTGACGTTTGTGCTGCCTGCTGCTGCTGCTGGTGGTGGTGGTGATTGAGAGGGCAGTGGGAGGTGCAGAAAGAGCAGATCAGTCCAAAGCATCAACCCTATGCCTGGAAATCTGTATCTGCTAAACAGAAACAAAGAAAAAGAAGGGTTTCACAGCTCACCTCTGGCGGTCGGCCATCCCGTCTCACTCCATCCGCACTCCCTTCAGCACCACCACCCCCGCCTCCTCCCCCTCCTCCGTCACCTCCCCGTGCCGGCCCCCTGCCATCCCCCGCGCCTTTGCGTGCCGCCATGTCATCCCCGCCCCAGCTGGGCACGGGCCTTCTCAGCTCCTCCTGCGTGTGGGCGAAGTTGCAGTTGGTCACGTACGGGCACACGCCATTGCGGAACTTCACGCACATCTTCGTGCGATAAAAGATCCCTCCTCGTACAGGCCCGTTCGCTGGCCCAGAGTGCGGCGCTCGTGGTGGTATACCACCCGGTTCTGGCCCTCCTCCGCCCATCCCAGCGCCTCCACCGCCCCCTCCGGAACCTGGTCCTGCGCCTCCCCCTGCACCGGCCCCAATTCCACCCCCACCTCCCCCTCCGCCTCCCGCTCCCCCTCCGCCCATGCCGCCAGGCATTCCCCCTCTTCCTCCCCCTCCGCCTGCCCATCCGCCAGGCCCGTCCATTCCCCCTGGGCCAGGACCGAATCCCATGTTCATCCCCATTCCGCCCGCTCCGCCCATTCCCATCCCCATGCCTCCGCCCATGTTCCCGCCCATGCCCATGTTCCCCATGCCTGACATTCCCCCCATGCCCCCCATTCCCCACCCCCCTCCGCCTCCCCCTCCCCGCGCGCCCCCATCCATGCCAAAACCCATACCTGAGCCCATACCTCCAGGGCCCATACCGTGCCCAGACCCTCCCATACCTCCAGGCCCGGCCATGCCTCCCATACCAGGTCCAGATCCCGCCTGCGCGCTACCTTCCGCGGATCCCTCCCCTTTTCCCCACTTCCGCGACGAATCTCCGCCTCCTCCTCCTCCGCCGTACCCTTGCGGGTACATCGGATCAAACCCATAACCTGAAACCCCCACCCCCCCCGTTCCTCCCATACTCCCCATTCCGCCCATGGGTCCCATGCCCATCATCCCCATACCCCCCGTTCCCTCCGGTCCCATCCCAGCGCCAGGTCCGCCCATATCTCTGCCTGCGCCTAGCCCGCTGTCTCCGCCGCCGCCCCCGCCGTAAGGGCCGTCACGGGGCCGATTCGGTCCGCCGGGCCAGGAACCACCGCCTTCAGGCGCGGAAGAAGGTCCCTTTCCGCTACCGTCCATGTCGCGAGATGCAGGCACGTGTATGAAATGCGATCGCACGACGCAGCACAATTCGCGTTAACACGGACCAGACAATGAATTTGCTAACTAGGATCGGTGAGCAAGCGGACTTGCTTCTTCGACAAGGAAAAATGGCGGCGTTGTGGCAGTAGTGAAATAGACATGCAAAGAATTTATCGCTGCATACCCAGGTGTACACTTAGCTTCAGAATAGACGCAAGCATTCAACAGGAAGGCTGGCTTACTGCATAATGATGGTGAGTCGAGGCCTGAGGAGATGATGCCGGGTAAGGGCGCGTAACTTTTTCGATTTGTTCTGGTCTGGATGACGAGGTTTCCGGAGGGTTTTGTGGTTACCTAAGTCGTTTTATGTCGTCAGGAATTGAACAGCGTCGTGAGCGTCGTAACGCTTCCGTCCAAGGTTGTCTGCGTCGCCCTGGAACTGTATGACCTCGTAGGCATCTTACGCTTTCGGACGTACGTTGCACATCGTCCGGATTTTGTTGAAACCCTGTGTAAGGAAAATCCCTTTTCCTTACTTCGCATCCCTGCTCAACACGTACATCACTGTAGCACCTCAGTCAGCACCGTTACCACTCGCGATCATCGCATCGACAATCATCCCGCCATTTTTCGCACATCGCATCCCGACCTCACGGCTCGGCTGGTAACCCGCGCTCCGGGCCTACGCTTCGACACTTTCCCAACCTCAGTCCCAGGCTCGTCGCGCGACTACCACAGACCATTACCGTTACCACTGTAGTTTCGCTATATATTCTTCGCTCACGCCCTCGCTCATTGTATTCTTGTTTCGATAGTGCAATTCTCTTTCGTTCACTCAATTGCACTCGTAACACCCTGAGACGGATACGGCCCAGGTTGGGTCATCCGTTGCAAAATGGGAGTTCGGAAATTATGGCAAACATTTACTCTATTGCATAAGGAATAATGCAAGTTGGATTCTGTAACACTACAGCTTCGAGGGTTTGGACACGTCAGCGAAAGTGTATCGCTGTGCTCCAACCTCACCTGCGCCAGTTCCCGCACTCGCCCCGCCTGTTTGGGTTGGCTTCGGCTAGAGCCACTCACATTCTCCCAACTTCTCTTGCTCCCTGCTCTTTTGCCGCAACCATCAGTGTTCATGCCCAGTTGAATTTCAGTTTATCGGAGGCGACAGCTTTCCTTCAGTAGACCGTACAAGCTAAGGAAATGACAGGTAATGAAGTTCACTGCGGCTTCTTGCATTACGCAAGTTATTGATCTGTTATGGTTGCAGGTCGTAACCAGGCAGTAGCATTGGGCTATATGCAAGAGAATAATTATGTCAAGAAAGGCTATCGTCGCACAACCTTGCAAGGTTAATCATCAATAAGCTTCTTCATGTCACCTTTTTTCGTCGGCATGCTTTGCGACGAGCATATCCCTCCTATGCTACGATGGCGACAGTACCCGCGAAATGACATCTGGGAGGCTGGGAAAGCTTTTTGACGACTAGCTCTACGTCATTGGGATAATACGGTCGCTGCGTCGTGCGGAATCCTTCACCTCTCCCGTTTAAGTGGTGTGTTTCGATTCCTCTTCCTCTTTCTCTTTTTAGTTCTCACGCTTTTGCACTCGAGCTCCATTTGTTGCTAATGCTTTGCTTACCTCTATTCTGCATGTGCAGGTGCTGTATCGTTGGACCTCGCTGATTATTATGGAAGCTCCCTAATCTAGTGAGCAGCTGGTGAGATGTTTACATCTTGTTGCGACATTCCATGGAGAACTAGGTGTGTCGTCCCCGTCCAGGGCTGGTGAGACAAGATAACGAGGCACGCGGACTTCTATTGCTTAACCTCAACTAATGATTCGTTTCAGGTGAAGCACATCTGCTACCCCCGTTTTTATGTTGTGAGCGTGTTTTTCTTGGTTGTTTGCTGAGCCTTTCCAAAACGGTTTTTGCAGATACCTTACGGTATTACCGAGGATGGATTCCGTAGAACACTCTTTAATCCGCCTCAGACGTTATTTCATTTTGTGTGGTCAAAATTCAGCTCCTTCAGGTGATAATGAGACTGCCTGTTTCATCAGCGACAGATTTTCATTCAACAATGTAAAGATTGTAGGTAAGGTGTTGTGCATGTTCATGTAAATATCTACGAATTAGGTCCTGAAAGGGAATGGTTGTATCATGTTCATTATGTGCATGTGCAATATAGTCATGTGCAATATTTCCATGTGCATGCAAGCAACAGTTATCTGACTACAAGTGTGTCCAAAGCCCCGGAAAGGTGCAAGCAATGCCCCCAATCAGATTTCCCCATCTTCCACTTCTTCCTTGCTTCTGTCTGCCTCCATTTCATCTTCACTCTCTTCTCCATCTGATTCATCTCTTAGTGATAGCCCTAAATGCTCTAACACGTTCATTCCCTGTTGAGAACCTGAGACTCTTGCACCTTCACCACCAAACAGCAATTCGGTGGAGCGGTCAGGACCAATGCTGATGTGCTCAGCAGGAGCACTCAGAAGGTGCATGTCCTTCATGATGGCATGGCTCTCGTCCAACTCCACGGACTTTGCCATCTGCTTGCCATGCAACACAGCATTGGACAGAGCCCGGAACAATGGATGAATACACTGAATATAGAAAGAACATTGGCACAGAAACATAACAGATGGCCCTAGTAGGGAGGGAGCATACCCCTTGCAGAGCACGACGCATTGCTTCCCTTTGCTCCTCCAGCTTTTTCCGGGCTTCAATAGCCACCTCTGCTTCTTTCCGCCTGCGAGTCTCCTGTGCTGCCCTGGCTTCAGCTTCCAAACGAGCTCGCTCTGGATCGTAAAGCAGAATGACAAGGGTGTTAGTATATCCTTCCGACAAGACAAGGAAAAATGACGCCCTACCATACATACCTTCTCTGTGCTTTCTCTCGATTTCTTCAAGCTGCTTCTGATCCACACTTTGAGTCTGCAAGGAAGAGTGGAACAAAAAGAATAAGAAGCTAAGACCATTGCAACATAGGAACAACCAAGCAAGAGTTGTGAGAATATTGACTTGCCTCCGTTGCTTTCTTCTGGGCGTTCAAAATTATGTCAGCGTACTTCCCCCGAAGAAGGGCTGCTTTTACAGCCGCCTCATCATCACCTGAGAAGATTAGGAAATCAAGCATGAGGCATGAGTGGTTGCTGCTATAACATGTAGAGATGCTCACAATGATGTACCAACCCACACTGTATACAAAGAGCCTCCAAGACACTCACCTTTGAAAGATGGCTTCACCTCCTTTGGCTTTTCATCTTGCTTCACATCAACCTCCATCTTCACCCCTTCACTTGCAGCAACACTGTCACCCCCTGTATCAAATGCAACAAAACCACCTAATTCATGGGCGTTGTTCGTTCTCAGAGTTCACACAGCATGGATACCCTGTACAAAGTGTCCAGTTCAGATGCATTGGGACTCGAATTGCACTACCCCAGTGCAATTTCTGTGCAACTTGGCTTACCAGCATTAGGCGAGGAGCATATATCACTGGCCTTTGCACTATCCTTGCTCTGATTCTGCTGCACAATTTAACCAGTAAAGAGAGGTACCACCATCATTTTTCTTCAGTCTTTCTTTTTTTGCAAAATGCTCAACAATCGACAGGCAATGGAGCAATTCAGTCACCTTCCCACGGGCAGGCTCAGAAGGAGTTCCCTTGGAGCGCCGATCTTCCTGATCAGACTCGCTGGAGGATGTGCCGCTGTCTGAGTCACTATCTGAGGAGGACAATTGGGAAAAACAATCCATATGAGTGTGGGGAAAGAAAATGGTAACTGATGTTGGGAGTGATGATAAAAGAAGTGGGTGGGTGGGGAGCACGGGAAGGGAACAGAGCAAAGATAAGTTCAGGCTTGACAAGCATACCACTGGACGAGCTATCATCGCTCGAACTGGATGATCCTGAGGTGCCTGGATTGGCCTTCCCTCCTACTCCATTCCCAGCAGGCAGCTTGGCTGCTGCCGAGTCTGCAGCAGAAGTGACAGCAGCAGCCCCATGAACAAGACCGGAACCTTCCTCCACAATGTCAACACTGTCCTCGCCTTCTGGAAATTGAAGAACGAGGAACAAGATGTCACAGAACAGCACAGGCAATAGCACAAGGATAGCACGGCACAACAACAGGACAATATGAGTATTGCTTTTTATAACAGCCCAGAGTATTAAAAGGGTTTAGCGGTGATCATTGTACCTTTGAGCTCCTGCTGTGAAGCAGGAAGAGCGTCAGGAACCTGCACAGGCCAAAAACGGCAGCACAACCAGATTAGCATGTCACACTGTCTCAGTGTAAACCAAGCAGCACAGAGAAGCTAAAACATCAAACAGACCTGAAATCCAAACCACGCACACAAACCTTGGACAAAGGCACCGATTGCTTCTGCTGCAGCAGAGCCCGCTTCCGCTTGCTCTTGCTCTTCATGCAGTTGGCCACGTATCTCTCCAGCTCCCACAGCGTCTCACTGTCCAGCGAGTCAATGTCAAGCTCGATCTCGTCCGCGTTCTGACTCAAATCAGGATTGCGCTCGGATATGATCTGCACAATCCGATCCAGATTCTCCGGTGGAAGCTTCCCCAGGTTAACACTCAGCTTCTGCTTCTCCGCAAACGTCATGTCCCTCAGGGGAACCTTCCCCTTCGCCTGAACCTGCGTTACTCCTTGGCTCGTCACCTTCCCACCGGCCTGCATCTGCGACTCTAGCTTCTGCAGCCGCTTCTCCAACTCTTGAACCTCCGGCTTCTCACGGCCGTCGCTGGTCTCCCTAGTTGCCTTAGCTCCCTTAACGTCCTCTACAACCATCAGCTCCTCGTCTTCCTGCCTGCGTTTCGCGGCATCTTCCTCCACCTTGAGTCGGATCTTCCTGTACCCTTGCTCGAACAGGCCCTTCAGTTCCAACGTCATGATATACACGTCACTGCCTTCCCCGTTATACCGCATAGCGTTCGACCAAACCAGCTGCACGTCGCTGTACAGTTCGTCTGGATGAAGGTAACCCGACGACTTGATTTTCGCGGTAATCGTACCCAGGTCCATCGGATTCTTGATCACCGTGTGGTAATCGTGTAAACCGAGCTTCACCGCATCGACGGGCTCTTTGAACACCCATCCGTATTTATGCGACATCAGTCGTTTCAGCAGCGTCGCATACTGCTTACTAATGTCGTTCAATCGCCTCGCTCTAGCAGCTTCGATTTTCTGTCGTTTCAGATCGAGTTCCGGCGTGTTTGCAGGGACATTCTTCCCCTTGCCTCTCTCGGGAACCAAGGCCTTCTCCTTAGCATGAAACGAATCAGCGCCTAACGGTGCGATCCACCCCTTGCCTGAAAACTCCGTCTCTGAACCCTGTATTCGCACTGGGGGCGCAGGAACGAGCGGAGCGGCTACAGCGACAGGCGAAGCGTCCATCGACCCGGATTCCACCGTGTGAGATGCAATCGTACCGTTCTCGGAACGTCTCATCCGCTTCCGGCTCTCCGCACCCTTCCCTGACAACTCCTCGCGCCGTAATGCTCCCTCCCTGGCTTCCACTTTCTCACTTAACCCCTGCAGCTGCTCCAGCTCATCTAGGAACTTTCTCCGCAAGCCTCTCCTTTCCCCACCTGTCCACCCAGCCAAACCGGTGCCTGTGCCTCCGTCTCTACTGCTCTCTCTGCTGCCTCTCCTATCCCCTGCCCTGGCATGATCAACCGCGTGACCTCCGCCGTTGTAAACTGGAACCTTCCGTTTCAGTGATTCTTCTGAGAAGCTGGGCTGAGCGGCAACGGGAACTGCTGGGAAATCGGCGACAGGCGGTGCATTTGCTGAAGCCTTGATAACGCTAACGCTTCCTGTGGACTTTCTCCTTCGACTATCTAAACTATCTAGCTTCTCAAAACCTTTGCTGTTTACGTCGGGTGCCGGACCTACAGGCTCCAACGCGTATCCCTTGCGTACTCGCCGCTTCATGGCCTCTTCCCTGGTTATAATAACCTCGTTCCGTCTGCGAGGCTCGAGAGCTGCTGGCGCCATTGCTCCCTGTTGCAAACAGAAACAAGAGCATAATTTTAGAGTCCTGTTGCAGAGATTTCTAGACAAGAATAGCATCACGTGATAAGGTTGAGAAACAGCAAAAGGCAGGAAAGACGCACCTTTGCACCTCTTTCCATGCGAGGACAAGCCCACGTGAATCACGGAAAGGAAGTGCCAGACTTCGCAACTGCAATTCATCGTGGGTAACACGAACCAGAGCAAGTCATGCTTTATACACCTGCCACGATGCATATACCAGTCGAAACAAGCTCGCCAAGTTAAACACAGTACCGATGCATAAGACCATCCTGGCCTAATATTGTATCGTCAACGGAAGCTGTGCGACATCACCAAATTATTTCTACTAACAGGTAACTTACATACTAAATCCAAACCCTAAAATATGCCTACTCTCTTGCTTTGATTTGTTTCTTGCTTTATTCTGCTAAACCATGAGCTAGGACACACAGAAAAAAAACGGTTCATCGGTGCAATGTACCTTCCTCCTCCCTTGGAAAAAAACAGATCCGACGCAGAATTAATGCAGCTTGGTCCACAAACAACAAAATTTTAAGACCAAAAATAGTGGGTTCTATTCCGCTAAATTCAACCGTGTTGATCTGCGCGTTCTAATCCTCCATAGCTGACGAGAACCTAGGAGCTAGCGGATAGTGATGGCCAAAAATTGAAACCCTAGCTCCGTTGGTGGCGGGCGAGGTGAGGCGAGAATCGAGGGAGGGAGAGAGAAGCGGGAGAGAGGTAGCCCTGCAACGTGTGACGCAAGCAACCACCAGATAGCAATTGCGGAAGTTGGAGATGGCGTCACAGAATGTTCCAGAAATCAAGACAGGTGAGATGGTACATTTCGCTTATGTTCAAAATCAAGTCACAAGATAAACATCTAACGAAAAAATACTTCTTACATCATACTAACACAAAGAATCAATTGAATATGCTACTTAGAACAATCAGACTCATCATGCATCAAGCCTATGTACCACTGGTTAGACCAGTCACACTGGCGACCTGCAACCAGCTAGCAGTATAGATTAGTCTTTGATAATTTGTCAACTGAATATACGTACTAACAGCAGAGAAGCTTACCCTCCTATTGTGTTGTGAATTATGACACATCCATCTAACCCTTATCAAAGCAGCACTGCAGCATGTTAATAAAGCCAGCAAGAACAAGACCTACCACTTCTGCAAAATACGGTACAACACAATAAGTGTTAGCTGCGCAATCACTGGTCCAATAACAATAGTTACAAGCGAGATGGTCCACCAACCTTGTCAGGGGAAGCCTCTGAGCCAGCATCTCTTGACTGGATCTCGTCTGAATCACTGCTCGAAGAATCACTCCCAGAGTCGCTCTCTGTAGATTACCAAACACGGGAAAAGAGAATTAAGCATTAGAGAACTAAGCATGTATAGAAGCTTCAGCTGCAGCTCTGGACGAGTGAAATCACATGTGGTACCAACTAGGCAGGCATCACACATACCACTTGAGGAACTGTCATCACTGGAGCCTGACGAGCCAGAGGAGTCAGAGGCAGCCCCTCCGCCTTGTGCTCCATTCCCTGCTGACGCCCTTGACGGCTCCGGCCTAGAGGGGCCTGCTGGCTGCGCAGGCAAAGGCCCTTCGTCCCCAATGTCGATGCTGTCTTCACCTTCTGCATCGCCATGTGACAAACGCCAACAGAGGATGGTGTGAGCAACTGATATGTTCTTGGCCTGAAGGAATATCGGTAGGCACATTAAGCAGCACTAGTAAGACATGAGGCAGCAATTTACCTTTAAGGTCTCCTGCTGAGCTTGCTGGGAACGCATCCACGCCCTGACCAGGGTAGGGGCAGAGAAGCAATGTTAACAAGGGGCAGAGAAGCAATGTTAACAAGTCAGGCCGCATATCCAGGTTTGACAAGGAGCTGCAAAGCTCACAATGGAGCTAAACATGAACCAGCAAGCACCACTCAAGCTCCTCACCTTGGGTTGCACAGTATCGTAAAGAGGGAGCTTCTTCCGCTTGCTCTTGCTCTTCATGCAGTTGGCCACGTATCTCTCCAGCTCCCACAGCGTCTCACTGTCCAGCGAGTCAATGTCAAGCTCGATCTCGTCTGCGTTCTGACTCAGATCCGGGTTGCGCTCCGATATAATTTGGACAATCCTGTCTAGCTTCTCCGGAGGCAGCTTCCCCAGATTAACACTCAGCTTCTGCTTCTCTGCAAACGTCATGTCCCTCTTCTTCGTATCAGCCGCTCGCGGCTTAGCCTGACCCCCTCTGGCCTTCCCTTGCTGCTGTTGCGCCTTAGTACTCGCCACAAGCTGCGATTCTAACTTCTGTAACCGCTTCTCCAACTCTAGCACTTCCGACTTGTCCCTGGGATCTGGTAGACCCCCTCCCGCTGCCAGCAACTCGTCCTCCTGTCGCCTCTTAACTGCATCCTCGTCCAGCTTCTGCTGAACCTTTTGGTACCCTTGCTCGAACATGTTTTTCAGCTCCGCCGCCATGTGATACACGTCATTGCCTTCCCCGTTGTAAGTCATGGCGTTGGACCAAACGAGCAGCACATCGTTGTGGAGCTCGTCGGGATGCTGGTAACCCGACGCCTTTAATCTCGTGTTGATAGTGCCCAGATCCATAGGATTCTTGATAACCGTGTGGTAATCGTGCAACTTAAGCTTCTCCGCGTCTACAGGGACATTGAAAACCCACGAGAACCTGTGCGACATAACTCGCTTGAGCAGCGCACCGCACATGCGGAACGCATCCGCCATCCGCTTCGCCCGTGCGGACTCGACCTTCTGCCTACGCGGATCTTTCTGCTCTACCCCTTTCCCCCCGCCCTTCTTCTGACTAGACGACTTCGACTTCCCCTTCTCTGGCGGCGGAAGCTTATCGGCCGCGGACAGGAAGTCGGGGTGTATGTACGTTGTATTCGCCTTCGGCGTCCGCTTCTCCTTCCCGCCTGGTGTTCTCTCCCCGCCAGCAGCCCCTCTCCCCTTTCGGTGGTGCTGGTGGAGTTGCTGCGCCACTCCCACCGCCAAGGGCCCCCCGCTCTGCGCTGTCTCCCCTAAGCCCCCGTCGAGCGGCTGTCCTGCAGACGAAAGCTCCGTGGCTCCTCCGTTTTCCGATCTGCGAACCCTCCGGTCCCCAAGCGAGTCACTAAGGATAACCTGCGGCTCCTGCATCAATCTATTCTCACGAGCGTCTACTCTCCGACCTAGAGCCAGCACCGTATTCAGATCCGTTCTAATCTCCCGTCTAAGAGATCTCCTCTCGCCCCTAGAAAGAACCCCGCGTACGGCTTCCGAAACGCTCCCTGGGTCGTCACGGTGGATGATTTCTGTCAGAGCCTTGCGCTTCCGACCGATTTCATTGGGACCCGTGCAGTCGCCGTCCATCTTGGAAACGCCAGACTCCTCTCGTTTCCCGCCGTTCGCCGCGGAGATCTTTCGCTTCTTGCCGTCCGATTCGTACATGATCTCGCCGTCGATCTCGAAGACGTCAGGATCCAACGGGACTGCTTCGTAAGCGTGACCGTTTGGTAGCCGCCTCTTCTTAGCGCGGTCTCCCTGTGAAAAAACGTGGTCGTTTTTTCGATGCGGGTTGACGGCGGCTGGTGTCATCTTCTCTGTAACACACAGCATAAAAGAAAAAAGAACACGACGGCGATGAAGAATACAGAACGAACGAAACAAACAGACGAAAAAAAAAGACATATGACACAGAGGTAATCATACATGTTAAAGTCAAGATTGCTTCCTTAACAGGAAGAACCAACTTGTGGTCTTGAAGTCATCGATCTGAAGCCGTGTGGTGCCGTGAGAAGCCACGGCCCAGTAACCGAGCAAAACGGCAGTCTTCAAGTGACCATATAGTAGACCGAGTAAGAATCCACGAGTTTCGGGGGCAGGCGCGTCCCGCGAGCTTCCGGAGCAGGCGATTTTTGCTGCAATGTCAGGTTGGCGTAGATCCAGTGGAGCAGCCGTCTCCTGGATGGAGCAACCCGAGACTTGGTGCTGGGAGAGCAGACTTGCAAAACCAGCAGCTGGCTGGAAATAACGGCAGAGGGAAAATTCGACGTTGTGGTGGTTTGAAATGGAGAAGAATTGGTGAGTTGAAATACCAAACCCTAGGCGTCAAGCCGCTCCTTCTGATGGAGATTACAGCGAGTAGGCGCCGTAAACTTCGATATGAAGGCAGTACAGCGTGAAGTTTCAAAAGAACAGTGATTCGCAGTACTGCTTAAACATTCTTAGCGACATCACGATTCAAAATCACAACCAAGCATGGACATCAAAATCTGCACATTTGAAATCTGGAAGTGCTAGGAAAAAATATTGAACACCCTCGGCTACAAATCTGCATGCCCATATTGTAGCATAGCAACATACATGGAATAGCATCAATTCAAGAGTCCTGAAAATTATTTGTTAAATACTATACATTATTGCAGCACTTTACCTAATATAACATCACAATCAAATGGATTGCAGCACTTTCAGCCAGCCATAGAATGATGGATGCATGTAGAGAATTACATTGGAAGTTACCAGTCAGTCACTCCTACACATGAAGTTACCTGGCGCTGTATTCTTGCTATCTCAGTTATCCCGGGCAGAGACCCCATTACCATGGGAGGCATTGACTGGTGGAGACCGCCAGTCCCATAGACATTGAGGGAGGTCGGGAACAAGGCACCAGGGTTAGGGGAAGTTATGTTAACGCTGTCCATAAATATGTCGGTGCAGGGAACGGTTCTGCTGCACCTGAAGATGATCCCTTCAGGTCCAAGCGTTGTGCCTTGGATGTTAGAGTATGTTACATTAACTATGGCGACATTGCTAGTCTTGATGTCGCTGTAACAGTAAAGGCTGCCTCCGCAGTAAAACTTCTTGGGGGCAAGTGGGTGAACACAGAGGGGGGGCAGGACAGACGACATCGGCACAGAGTAAGGCAAGAAGTGCGGGGGAATAGAGGAATGGCATGGCAGGGTAGTTGTGATGGGAGGGGAAAAAGTGCCGCTCCATGGACTACACAACCCACCTGATCGAGGACGATTGGATACCGCACGTTCTCCATGGAGATGCCGTCATACATGATGTTGGTGGCCTTCCCTGCACCACCCTGGAACGTCTTGATGCGCAGGCCTATCTTGGTGTTGACGAACCGCACGTCCCTCACTGATATGTCCGACACGCAAGAGACAGGATACACCGTGCCGCTTCCTAGTGCTCCGATGCTGGCAAGAGTAACAAAAGGGGAGAGGGAAGAGGGAAGAGGGAAGGGGGAAAGGGGACGAAGGAAGGTGAAGCAATAGAAGGTGACATGAATCGGGGCATGACCAGGAGGAGAGATGAGAGTGAAGCTCAAGTCTCAACAAACCTCAACAACACAGGTAACCACAGGTAACCAGGCTTTTACTGTTGTGTTGTGAGTGCCACAGTTTGTGTTACGTGTCTGACGTTCCATAGGATCACCCCACTTACGAGATGCCATGGCCTGTGAGGCACGTGACATTCGATATAGTCACGCCGACAGCGCCGTCCCACATGGACACGTTGTCATCACCCCCCCCGAGCGTGCACCGTCGGATGTCGATGTTGAAGGAGGAGGAGATGTGGATGCCGTCCGTGTTGATGCTCTCTGCCGGCGAGTCTGTGCGGAAATCAAAGATGCGCATGTTGGCACACCGAAACACCTGCACGTGGAAAAAGGCCGCGTTCCTGAAGAGAGGGGGAGAAGGAAAGGAAAGAGTTGGTGAGTCCACGCGGAAATCAAAGATGCGCATGTTGGTGCACCGGAAGATCTGCACATGGAAGAACGCCGCATTCCTGGAGCGAGGGAGAGAGGCAAAGAGGATTGAGTGGGTAGAGTCTTGAGGTGTTAATAAGGAGCAGGGGATCAGGCATTCACAACCAAACAAGGCAAGCCGTGGAACACAGAATGATGGAGAGAACAAGACCAACGGAGAGCATGAAGCAACAAAACAGGGTAAATTGAAGGATGACCTTAATGAACAAGATGAACTTGATGCCACTAGCACGTTCTGGAGAAGAAGTAGACCTGCTCTGGTGTTCATAAATTGGCTCAACAGTCACGCGTGCTGACCTGACAGTGATGCCACTGAGCACGGTCTGGTTGCATCGGAAAAAGTACAGCAGCATGGGCCGATCGCCCTTCCCCTTCTGCTCCCAAAACAGCTGCCCTCGCCCGTCCACCACGCCGCTCCCATACACCTTCAGCCCTGTGATCCCCTTAAAGTAGAGAATCGTGAAGGGGCCAGTCTTGGGAACGGTGTAGATCTTTGGGTTCTGAGGCACGGTGATGTTTCCATCCAGCTGCACGTTCACGCCTGAAGGCCCGCACGGGCCAAGGAAGGAAACACCCATGATGTGGAAGGTGTATTTACCCGGAATCAGCACCGTTGGGGCAACCTGGTCTTTACCCCCATCTGCTGCTCCTCCTACTCCGGTTGCTGTGCTGCTGTTGAGGGACGCAGCACATGCGGCGGCAAAAGCTGCTTCGATTGCCTTCCCATCGTTGCTCTTCCCGTCCCCCTTCGCCCCAAAGCTCCTCACGTCATACACGCCACCCGTGCCAGGTGGCACCGGCTTACTGGCCGACGGCACGCTGGGAGGTAGATCGTACCATTCCCCTTCCCCTTCCCCTTCCGCCTCTTCCTCCCCATCCCCCCCTGGCGCAACCCCTCCTCCCCCCTTAGGCGGGGATTTGGAAGGGGGCGGCGATTTAGGAGGGGGCGGCGATTTGGGAGGGGGCGGCGATTTGGGAGGGGGCGGCGATTTGGGAGGGGGTTGGGATTTGGGAGGCGGTGAGGATTTGGGAGGGGACGGGGATTTGAGAGGGGGAGGGGATTTAGGAGGGGGTGAAGATTTGGGAGGGGGTTGGGTCTTATTTAAGGGTGGAGATGGCGAGAGGGTGGGGGGAGGAGGAGATTTTTGGGGCTTAGGTGGGGGTAGAGATGGTGGAGCAATAGGGGGAGGAGGGCTCTTAGGCGGTTTGATGACCGGAGGAGGGCTCTTAGGCGGTTTGATGACCGGAGGAGGGCTCTTGATTGGGTTGGGAGGAGGTGGGCTGGAGGGTGTGGGTGATTTGGGGGCCTTGGTCGAGGGTGACGGGGAGGGCGGGGAGGGAGGGTCAGGCGGAGCAGCAGCGACAACAGCAGGCGGGGATGGCGTACTGGCGGAAGGCTTGGGGGGAGACTTGGGGGACTTGAAAGTCGGGGGAGGCTTGGGGGATTTCCGCGGCTTGGGCGACTTGGCCGGCTTATGCGGACTCTTGGACGGCTTAGTCGGAGACTTGAGCGGTTTCGGCGGGCTGCTGGTCACGTTGGACACGCTGGTGTCATTCCCCCCCCCGCTGACCCCTGCAGCACTGCCAGCATCCCCATCGCCCCCATCCTTTGATCCTGCTCCGCCTGCATCTGTGTCGTTGGTTCCTTGCTTCACAGGGGAGGCAGGAGCAGGAGGAAGAGGAGGAGGAAGAGGGGCGGTAGGTTTGAGAGCGGCAGGCCGTGGAGGCTGCTTCGCGGGGGACTTGGTCGTTTTGAACGCGTTCGCGGAGGTGGTGAGGAGAGGAAAAGACGACGAGGCGGAGGCGGGGGCCTCAGTTGCAGCAGAGGTAGGGATGGAATGACTTAACGTCTGAACCATGCGGCTGGCTTGAATCAGTTGCAATCGGCGACGGACGAAGGCGAACGAGGCACGAGCTAGCTGAGTCAGTGTGCGGGCGAGGCGTTCCGACCCATTCCCAGTTGGCTGTTTTACCGTCTGCCGCTGCTTGCCTGCTTCGTTCGCTTCCTCCGCTCTTCTTGTCACAGCGGCGAAAGAAAGTAGTAGAGATTCCGGTCTGAAGGGAGTAGCTCCATTCTGCTGCTCCACATCCTGAACGTCCTTCAGAAACAAGACTTCGTCGCATGAGAGTTTGTCTGATCTGATTCCGTCGGTAGATGCAGGTGACGAGGCATTCGCCGACGACGCATGTATGATGGTGGAGGCCGAGAGGAGGACGAGCACGGCGAGAGCGGTGACTACTATGTTGGAAAGACGAAACCCTCGACGTGCCATTACGGGGCAGGCTGTCATCTATCCAAGGTCGAAACGGAGAGCCGAGGATACATCTGAGGCTCTAAGGCTTTTACCGAACGTCGATTCGGACGCGGATAAATCTATGCAGGAATTTTGATCAGTGAACTGCGCTGATTCATGACGATAGTGCATATTAGCGAGTCAGCCATGGCGCTGGGCTAGAAGCTCGTCTGAACTCTGCCGTTTTCAGGTACTAGGCTGCTCGGATACAGATACAGTCGCGGAATTGCTAACTAGAGTAGGTATAGGACTGTTCCTCGACCGATCTTCTTCTAAGCTGGATGCTGGAAAGGGAAGAATTGTGCTATCGGAAGCAAATTGTCGGGGCTGAGCGAGGTGTTCTGAAGCTGCCAACGGTGCGAGAGGGTTCTTAGTCTAACGTGGATATACCAGAGGGTCAAGCTTCCAGTCACAACCTGGATGCGAGGTGACACTCGACGCGGAATCTACCGACATAAACAGGAAGGTGAATGTGCAAGGACGCTGGGAACATCTGATCCGGGAATGTATGGGAAAGGCAGTTTTGGGTGGTTGCTTTTGCTGTGCGCAAGCTCACAACTGAGAGATGCGTGCTTGATGGGAAGAAGCGAAAGGGCGCGAGGAATACGGCAGGAACAATAAATTGTTTGAAATAATGAGTGAGCTGTAGAGGAGGATCAACAATCAGGGAGGGCGCCAACGGTAGCGTCTCGGGGAAAGGTGCAACCGACACGCATGCTTGCTTGATGGGTCTCTTGCTAGGCTCCTCGACTTGGTTTTTTGGGAATGGCTCGTTCCGTGGCTCTCAACTGAACTGAATTTGCGTCGCATGGTTTTCGTCGATAAGACGAAATTTGTTTTTCGCCGCATCGCACATTTCAGCTATCTTCGGGCTTTCACGGGGCTGTTTTGCGGAGAAATGAGCCAATCAAATACAGGAGTCTTTCTGCCCGTGCGAGTTTGGGACATGTGGGTCAGGTGGTTGAATCAACATGCGACACGGTTTGTGATTTTTGGGCTGAGTGGCGCCAGAACCCCCTCGGGTTTGCTATTCACCACCCGTTTGTCGTCAGCAAGCAGTCAACGGACAGAAAAGCAGTCAGCAGCCGTAAAAGGAAGGGAAATTGTCTTTCTTGCAGTTGATTTTGTGCTTCTACGAAAAGCCCCGTTGATGTAATTGAACAGTTCTCCGCCTCACAGGCAATTTACTCTCCTGCTTCACGCATTACCTACACACCAGCTTAGCCCGTTTCAGTCTAAGAATATGCTGGATTCCCCCTACCTTAGCTAGGTAACGCCCTAAAATTCCATGCATCCAGGAGCTAGATGCCGTACTATTGTTAAGAAACCAAGACAAAAATATATTTCCATGTGGCGCTAAAGCTGCATTGGCGTGTTAAATCTTCCAGATAGCCTCCTGTTGTCCACACAAGCTCAGGCGCAGGCTAGACAGAAATGGCTCATAAAACGGACGACGAATACGATTACTTATTCAAAGTTGTCCTAATAGGAGATTCTGGAGTGGGGAAGTCTAATCTGCTCTCTAGGTTTACCCGCAACGAGTTTTGCCTGGAGTCGAAATCAACTATTGGAGTTGAGTTTGCAACTCGAAGCATTCAGGTACGCCGAAGTTTTTTCAACATTGTTCTACACAGCGTTCTCAATAGCTTGCTTCTAAAAGGTTTGTTCTCACAGGTTGATGGGAAGACAATCAAGGCGCAGATCTGGGATACAGCAGGTCAAGAAAGATATCGCGCAATCACAAGCGCTTATTACAGAGGAGCTGTCGGTTGCCTGCTTGTCTATGACATCACGAAACCTGTGACGTACGAGAACGTTGAGAGATGGCTGAAGGAATTACGAGACCATGCAGACGCGAACATTGTGATTACCCTTGTCGGCAACAAGTCTGACCTGAGACACCTCAGAGTGGTTGCTACAGAAGACGCGCAGTCTTTTGCAGGTAAGTGTGTTGTTCCTTCTCTTGCTCCTGGTCCAGCAGCAACGCCGTGCTGACTTCACAAACGTTTGCTGCAGAGAAAGAAGACCTCTCTTTTATCGAGACGTCTGCATTGGAGTCAACGAATGTGGAAAACGCGTTTCATAAAATATTGACTGAAATTTACCGCATTGTGAGCAAGAAGGCCCTCGGCCAAGAAGACTCTGGCCCTGCTGGGCCTGGAGAGGGCACAACAATTGTTGTTGGGGATGGAAATGCAGCCAAGTCAGGGTGCTGTGGTTAATACCGTACATGGATGGTTTTCTGTTAGTGTACCATACTGCTTTGCAAACCACAATGGAAGTTACTGCAAGGAAACCACAATTGCCATAGATTTTCCATTCAAAGTTTACCAGACAGAACTCTACTGGCCAGAACTCTCGTGTCTGGAAACCGGTCGAAGCCATGTAAGACTGACAATGTGCCCCCATGCTCGTTAAGAAGCTTCTTATGGTCTCCAATAATGTATTTATCATCTGGACCGAACCGATGAAGGACACTTGCACGCTCCATGTCTTGCACCTTAATCTGTGGCATGCTCTTCAGCATCCCTGCAACACCAGACAGCCCTGCCATCATTAGCTGCAATAATCGGGAACAAACAGGTTGCTGTCTGGCACGTGGTCCATGAGGAGCTTACCTGCTCTTACTAGCTGGTTGATGACTGCTTGATCACTCTTTTCCCACCGCATACACACTTTTGGACCCTGCTGGAAGATTGCCACAATCAGTGCGAGAAGCTGCCGCATGTGTGAGGCCGGGCCGTAAATGAAGCCAGGGTTGATAACACGCATTCCTCCAAGTGAGAAAGCCTCTTTTCGTGAAAAGCACGACAATAATTGCTTGTGTTGCAATGATAATGCCTTAGTCCCATGCCGAGGGTATTGAGAAGCTTCCTGCAGTGGATAGAAAGGAGCAAGAGGTTCAAAAGAGTAAGGTGATCAACCGAGCAACATCCACGTGCAAAGGGAACATTATAGAACAGAAACAACTTACTGTAATAAACCTCAAAAACACGTCCTTCGCCTCCTTGGCAGGAAAAGGGTCACGAAGGAAGAGAATATCATGAGCATCAGAAAGAGCCACATTCCCTTCAAACGATGAGCCCAACTCTTGCAGGAACTTCTTGAACACCAGATACCGGATGTTGGTGGCAGGGGCGTGACTCCAATTTCCTGGAGAGAAAGGTTTGAGGCGAATTGAGTACAAGGCCTACAAAAAAATCTGCGCGAGTCCATGCTTGCAACGTCATACTACCTTGCATGATAGCGTCTCCCCCTCTCACCTGCTCGGGGAGCTTCATACTGTTGCATATAGATCCCTTTTCTCTGCTCAGCAGTCATTGGCCACCACCACAGAGGCACGCGATCAAAGAACAGAATCAACCACGCTCGCCCTCCATGCTCCACAAACCGCTGAAACGACCGGAGCAGCACTGTCAGGTTCTTGGAGGCTTCCCCGGTGGCCAGGGTTAAAATGAGGTTGTCAGGCCAGGTCTTGGGAGGAGTGGGCGTGATGGGTTTGAATTTGAGGAGATAATCATTCGGATTTGGAGGAGGCCGTGGAGGCTTCTTTGGCGGGGGCTTAGGTTGGGGAGGCGGGGATGCAAGGACCACAGGTTTGGCCCTGGCTACTGCTTGGGAATTTCTCGAAGGGGAATGGCACGGGGAAAAGAGACGGGGTGGAGATTAGCTTGAGCAAGGAAATAGTCAGTGAGGAGAGGGTGGAGAGAAGAGGGGTAGGAAGGAGTTAGAGTGGAGGAAGGTGGAACAAGAGGAGTAGACGATGGTGAGGTTGTGAAGGGAGAGAAGCGCGTCAAGTCTCCAGCAAGGACTGAATCACTGATGCTCACGTGATCCAAGTAACGAGCATTGCTTCCGTTTTTCCATGCTTCCATTCTCCATCGGGGAGGAAATGCAAACTGGTCAACAGAGTAAATGCCCTTGTTGGGAAGATGTTTCAAAATATGGTATCTTTATATTGCATGCACAAAGGCTCACCTTCTTCTTCGCTTGCTTCAGGGAAGTCCGAGACAGCATCCGATTCCTCTTCTGCGGCTGAAACACCTTCCGAAGCCGCGACATCTGCTGCCAATCCTGTCAATTTGTCTTCTGCATTCTCCGTTCCATCACTTGTACTTCCTTGCTGACTGCTCGCGTCTTGTCCGCCATTGTCCTGATCAGCTGTCGCAACCCTGCCCTTTTCAGGAGTCTTCCCTCGTCCACGAGGTGTCGTCCTCCGTGCTGACAAAGCGACGAAATCGTCCGCAATGTCGCTTGCATCCTGCTCCTCCGTCCCACCCAGTGAGGTATCCTTAGTCTCCTTGGTCTCCTTGCTCTTCCGTCTGCTCGCCGATTCCTCCTTCAATCCAACATCAGAAACTGACAAATGTCGGGATCCCGGAAACTTCTCGTTTGATTCAACTGAGGAGGAGCTCTTGATGCTCATCAGCCGTTGATTCGCATCGGGAATGACGATCAGAGCCGTGAAAAGCAGCCCGAGAACATACACAGTGATCAGGCGCAACGGCCTTCGTTTGGATTCCGGAGCCGTTACACGGACGCTTAGGCTGAGGTTTCTTAAATCTCGAGTAGAAGTTCTCTTCCGTCCGCTTAACGTGCGTTGAAGCCATCTAACGGTCGCCGCTGCGGTCCTCATACCGATGCTAGCTACCGTTTACATGCATCAACTTGGTAAACAGGATTGCTCTATATCGAAGGCAATCGGCACTCTGGAGACATTCCCTGAAGAGCAGAATCGCTCTGGTATGAAAAAATGCTGCTCGCTTAGCCTGCATCAACGGCCGCGATTAACAAAATGGCAGATCAAGGAGCGCAAGCTCTGCCGTCAAGTGCCGTAAGCACTTCTTAGAACTTAGAGTGCGCCATTCTGCACTGGAAACCGACCAGTAAGTCGTAACACCTGCAAGGAGTCCTTATCTCATCCTTCCCCAGTCCAGACCCGAACAGCACAAAGCACTGTCGTGGAGGCAAATGGCTCATAATCTGCCGGACTGCGCGACCACAAATACCGCTGTTTCTGAGACAATACCGCTTTGAACTGTCGGAAATCCTGTCCTAACCGCGCTCAAAACTTGATTCTGGCCGATGAGTTGCCAGACACGGTTGGCCCTCGAGGAAAGCCGCGCAGAGAGCTGCGGAGGATGTTTTCCGCCCACAGCAACGGTGGGAAGGCCAAAGTGGGGAAGGCGCAACCAGGGTTCCACTGTTATGATAGTCCCTGCTGGAAGCAATTTACTAATACCGTAATAGTGAAACGCTAAGATATGAGCACTTGCTGCTTCCTGTCAGTCCTTTCCATCCCAGCTTGTGCGTACTTGGGAGATTTTGCCTACCTAAAGTGTAGCTGGTTGTGTATGTCCATGGCTGCTGCATGCACCATACGGTATGGCTGAGTCTCCTCTCCTGCATTTCCACTTGTGTGCCTCTCTATCTCAACCACACCCTCACTCAGCTCAACACCGCGAACGAAGGCTGAGCCTGTAGCAGCCAAGTCATCATGGCATGTCACAGCATGGCACAACACCTGCCGGACACTTTGTCCTGCTTAGGAGTTTGTGCCCCCTCTGTCCTCCTCATACCACAGCATGAGCCAGGGAATCATGGCACGGCACAGCACCTGAGGACGCTCTGCCCTGCTTGAGTGCTTGTGCCCAGGCGCCTTCCAGGTTACGCAACCCACCAACCTACTCTACAGCATGCAGGCCCATCCCAACATAACACAGCACAGCGCAACACAGCACACCTAGGCAAAGATAAGCATGCCTAAGCAGAGCTAAGCAAAGATATGCACACCAAACCACACCTAAGCAAAGAAATGCACACCAAACAACACCTAAGCAAAGCTAAGGACAGGTGAGCTAGCAGGGGTAAGCACAGAAGCGGCGCATGTTGAGTTGTTGGTGGGCCACCAGCATGCGGCAGTGGCAGTCCTCAGCCTCGCCCTGCACATCACCACACAAGGGCCAGCCAGCAGCACAACAAGGCCACATGGAAGAAAGGGGAGGACAGAGATTAGGGAGAAGGAAAAACATAGTTGTGTATTATGTTAGTCTCAGAAAGCCTTTGTGAAGACTAAGTGAGAAATGCACATTTGCAAGGGCAGCAACTCCCCCCTGCAGAATCAAGCGGCCCATTTACCATGCATATGTATGCAGCACCGCTGTTGCTGCCACCGCTGTTGCTGCCAGTGCTTTTCGCACAGTTGTTTGCAGGGACATGAATGGGACATGCAGAGGGGAGGGAGACCAGGGCACCACATTAATAGGACACAGAAAAATGGGAGGACAAGCAACACGAGATAGAAGAGGAAAGGTCGAGAAGAAGCAACGCTTGGTGCACTCTCACTGCTGAGACAAGAAGCAACACTTGGTGAAGCAACGCATGGTGCATTCGCGCTACTGTGTTACCTCTTGTGTTGGAAGAGAAAGTAGCTTGCTGTAGCTGCAACTACTGGTGCCATCACCACTACTTGTGTGCTTGCCACCACCCTGCAGTTGCTGTAGGCGAGGGGAGCAAGGATGGCAAGGAAGAGGAAGAGAGAACTGAGAAAGGAGAGGAGAAGCGAGTGATGAGCGGAGCGGCTGGGGATGTGAAAGAGCACTGACAAGCCAGAATAGATGGCAGATGGCAGCTGGAGAAGGGACTGAGACAAGACGCAATGGAGGTTGCGCTCACCTGCTGCTGCATCGTCACTCTTGCCTTGTACAAGGAACAAATGTTGTCCCTATCCCACCCATGCACAACGCACTCCACGTCTTGGAGCCTAAGATACACACTCGCAGGCACGCACACACACACGCAAACAAAGGACAGGCGCCGTCCCCCCACCCCACCCCCTCCTCTACCCCCCCTCCCACCCCCTCCTTCCACCCCTCCCCTTCCACCCCTCCACCCCCCCCCCCGTCCTCACAATCACGGGGAGACAAAACACGGACACAGAAGCGGCGCAAGAAGAGAGGGTTAGGAGCAAAAGGAGAGGAGGCGAGTGGCAGAAACAAGAACCAAGGCCCACGAGTCTTGCCTCTGCGCGGCGACTCACTTCACGGCCCCCCTGCAAGCACCCCCTGGCCCGTACCACGCTCCCCCCGTTGCTCTCCCACTCCTGCTCTCCCACTCCTGCTCTCCCACTTCTGCACCACGAACAATCTGCCACGAGCGTGAAGGCTGAGAGGCACATTCAGAGGCATGCACACACGCACACGCACACATGCACACCCCCACCCCCACCCCCCTTCCCCCTTCCCCACACACGCACATGCACAGTCCCCGTCCACTCGCTGCCATTCCCGTCCGCCTCGCAGGACATGAGGCACACACACGCATGGGGATAGCCAAACACACGAGGCACAACAAGGGAGGGCCAGAAGCAGCAAAAGGCGAGTGGAGGAAGCAAGGGCAACAGACACGACACATGCCTCTGCGCGGCGACACCTTAGGACTCAATTCACTGCCCCCCTGCAAGCACCCCCTGGCACATACCACTTCTCCTCCTTGGAGAGCCTGCCGCTCCGTGCGCTGCTCTCCCAGTTTTCTGCAACACCTTCACTCGAGGCGTCCATGTGCTGCCATTGCTCTCCGTCTCGCAGGCCACGAGGCAGACGTGGAGAGAGACACACACACACATGGCGAGAGAGAGAGACACACACACATAGAAGAGGGTTAGAAGCAGCATGTGGCGAGTGGTGGACACGCAAGCAACAGACACGACTCTTGCCAATGCGCGGCGACACCCTATTACAGTCCACGGCCCCCCTGCAAGCACCCCCTGGCACGTACCACGCCCCTGTGCTCCGTGTTGCTCCGTGCTGCTCCATTTTGCTCCGTTGCTCCAAGCTGCGCCAAGCCTTCGCCCCAAGCTGCTCCAGGTTGCTCGTAGTCCGCCGCTGCTGCTGCTGCTGCTGCTGCTGCTCTCGCCGCGTTGATGCAGAGAAGAGGAGAGGACAGGAAAGGAGAGGTTTGGGAGCTGAGAGAGTGGCATGGGAGCATGGCAGCACAGCAGCAAAGACTAAAAGAATCGTGGGACAATAGTAGACAAGACAGAGCGGAACACTGAAAGCAGGAAGACGGTGAAAATAGAGTAGTAACTGCTTGAGCTGGTCTGCTTGACTCAGGAGCCCTTGTGTGCTTGCTTTCCATCATGCTGCGGTTGCTGCAGCCATTGCCTTCCGTGAGTGCTGGAGGTGAGGGGAGAAGGGATGGCAAGGAGGAGGAAGAGAGGCATGAGGATGCGAAAGAGCAAATGCTAGCTTGGAAAGGGACTAAGAGAAAAAGCAATGGACGGTGCAGTCGCCCTGCTGCTACATCTTTACTCCAAGTTACCTCTTATCTCAAAAGAGATAAAATCTTGCTGTCCCCACCGAGGGCAGGCAGGTTCACAAAGAGCAATCCGCCACACTCCAGAGCTTGAAGGCTGAAAGGAACACTTGCCTCTGCGCGGAACACTTGCCTCTTGAGAGGCAAAGACAAGAACAAGAGACACGACACTTGCCTCTGCGCGGCGATGCCCTACGACTCCCCGCAAGCACCCCCGGGCACGTACCATGCTCCGTGTGCCACCCTGCCGCTCTGCCTGCACCACGCCTTGTCTGCTAGCGTGCTACTCCAGGCTGCTCTCTTGCTGCTGCGCCAAGCCTTCGCTCCAAGCAGCGCTCTGCCGCTGCCTGTGCTCACGATTGCTCCGTTGCTGCTTCTGCTGCTCCAGTCGTTGCTGTCGTCCCAACCACCAGTCGCTGCAGAGAGGAGGAGAGGACAGGAGAGAAGGGGTTAGGGAGCCGAGAAGAGTGGCACGATCAGCTGACAGCAGCGCTGCAAAGACTCATGGTTCCGTGGAAAGATGGTAGACAAGAGAGAACGGGACAGAGAAAGCGGGAAGATGGTGAGAAGTGAAGCGGTGAACAGCTTGACCTGATCCACTCACCACCTCTAGTGTGCCACCGGTGAACTGCGGTGAACCGCGGTGAACTGCGGTGAACTGCTCGCCATCACCCTGCAGTCGCTGCAGCCACCGGTGATCCCCA